CATCTTGTTGTTTGGAACATATCCCTCCTTTATCTTGAAGAATATTATTCTTCCTCCTACATTATGAAAGATGTATGATGTCACTTTGAATTTAATAAAGTGTGTATCCTGAGACTTCTATGCAGCAGATCTTTTAGCTTTATTTTAGTGTGTGTGCAAGTTATATTTGTAATTTTTTGCTTAAATGTTCCGTAATTAAAACTAGTTTCTTGCCATCCTATAATCCAATAATAATCTCCCCCCTCTTTGAGATATATTTGTATTTATTCTTTCTGAGAGGAAATTTTCTCCCTTTCATTAAAAATTAATTATTATTTTCTGATAATTTAGATAATTTTGAAAATGATATAAAAATCCATTTTATAAACAGTTTTTAAAAAATTATCCAACTAACCTTATCTTTCTATTACTTTTCTCTGGATCAATCTAATAATATGAATTTAGTAAAATTCCCTTCTTGGCTTCATATTCAAATCCACTTCAAGTTAAATAATTCAAGGAGAGATTATTTATTTTCTCTTAAGATCATTTCTTTGCACTGTTGCTTTCTTGTAAGAAACACTCTTCCTACCTGATGATCACAATACCTACTCAATAGATAATTTTCACTTAATTGAATAATTGATATTATTTAATTCTTAAACCATGATTTCTCTTTCAAGGAAAAATAAGCTGAGCACAATTATTTAGTATCTTATAAACACTTTTATTTACTTCAAAGTTGTGTTACGCCTAATTAAGCTGCAAACTGATTTGGAATTAATCAGAAACCAAATCTGATTGTTAGGTTAATCAAAAAGCTCGATTAATAATGTATAAGTTATACAATTTCTTTATTTGCTTTAATTAATCAATAATAATATCAGCAACTAATTCAAAATTCCTGTAATCACTTATTCTATTCATGATAAAGTTATCAAAAAAAAAGCTTACAGCTGTTGATTTACAATCCTATCCCAACTATAAATAATTTCACTTTTAATTAGGGTGCTTCTTCTTTCACTTTCCCCATTATTCAATATTTGTTCAAATTATTTTGCTTTTGCAAATTAAAAATATCAATAAAATAACTTTAATGCAGAAGTATTAGATTCAATTCACCTAGAATTAAGTTGAGCAAAAATTAATTTTATTTTGTTATTTTATGATACTTTATAAATCTATAAGCTTTTACTTTAATTCGAAGATGTGTTAGCCATGATTTAACTATTAATTGATTTCTCTATGAATAACTTTAAAATCTATTTCTTTTAGAACTATGATGAATTAAATTCGTCATAAGTTATATTTTAGAAAGTTAACTTTGAGTGAATAAATCAAACCATAAAGGGTAAGTAGAGATGATAAAATCTAATTGAAATTTAGCATCCTAATTTAATGTTTAATTTATTTTTAATATATATTCTTCCATCGAAATATTAAGTTATCGAAGAACGACATATAAGAATTGGCATCAACATAATAAAGCCTGAAAAATTAAGTTACATACCCACTACTATTGCTTACAATTAAAAAGATAAGTTCAAAAGCACACATTTTATTATTATATTTTATTAAAAGTATTCTTTGGGGATGAGAAAATAAATAAATTTATACTATCAATGAACACTGCATTCTCTTGAAGGAACCGCCAGCGATTATGATTTTCGATTGCTCTACAGTTATTTCCAAAGAGAAAGCTTTTTGAAATCCTATATAAATAAGGGTAGATTTTAATTACTTGAGTATTCATTAATAATAAATATGTAAGAATATACCATTTCAACATGATTAAGGTAAAAAATACATTAATGAGGTGAAACACTATTTAATAACAGGAAGAGGATACAAGTTTATTAAACATCAAGATATATAACAAAGGATGCATAGCTAAACTTGCTGATTCAAATTAGCTTACTTTTATTCATCCTGCTATATATTCAAGGTTTGAGTAACTACTAGTTACAATAATCATTTCATCCAAAGTTGGCACTTCCTCATAGAACTTTTTTCAAAGCCTGTACTTTTAAATATGCTTAACATCTCTAAAGAAACATGCCACTTAATTTTAATTTAATTTTTATTCTTTAATAACTTCAATCTTGCTAACCAATAACTGAGAAAAATTGCAAAAAAGGTATAAAATTTATTTATTCAAATCTAATCTAAATAATGCCATCATATAATAAATTGGTATTTCGATTGAAATAGTTTCAAGGTAAATTATAGTCTAGGTCTAAATTAACCACTCTAATCACATAAAGTAGTAATGATGATCTTAATAAATTATCTGTAATAATAATACAAATAGTCAAATTGCAAAATAATAACGAGTCCGTGAAATTATATCTTTGAGTGAATCAACTAATTATCAATTTATAATAGAAGATTTCTTGATTTCTCAGTATTTTTAGATAAGTGAGCTCATCAACTTTGACGCTATCGCTTCAAATTGGGATTGCTTTTAAAATGCTTCAATAAGTTTGAAAATATTCAGACATTCTGTAAACAATTCTTGTAAACAAAGAATTTTGGGTGATTATTTAATTTATTATGGATCTAATAATTTAGCCTAAGTTTTATCATATTAAAAAATTTTCCATAATTTATGGTTTATTCCCCAAGAATTGTTTTCATATTCAAAACAAATATAAATTCTCTTTGAAATTGGAATAAAGTGAATGGAAAAGCTAACTTACTTATGGTATTTTAATCAAAAAGTGATTATATCTTCGGAGCATACTCTCCTTGTAAATGGGAATCAGATAAGGGCCATGTACAAGATAATACATTATCATCTTTTATATTTTCATAAACTCATGATTAAGTTTATCCTTTGAAGTCA